TAGAACGTACTTGAGCAAGTAGTGATCCTTGTGATAATAACTCTTTTAAATAATAACGTTAAGAAACAGAAACAGTAATAGTGTCGAGTCGACTTAAATTAACAAATGTCGATAAATGCGACGCAACGCGCAATACTTGAAAACACACACTTGGTCAGCACTTGGTCGCTGATGACATATATACGTTGCATTGTGGAATCATTGTTGCAATGTCGTTTCTAGAACTCTTCATTCGTTCGTATAGATAACGTCTCAATATCGAAATTGACCCTTTCTGCCCATTCCATTATGGTATACTCTCAGCGGCGCGTAATTTCCATTTCCATTCATTGCTATATTTGTAAAATTGTAAAAAAAAATTATGAAAACGATGAAAATTAGAAACATAGCACGCGTTCGGAAACATCACAGTTCTCCATAATACATGCAGAAAAGGGCATCTCTCGAGGAAATACTGCAGAACTGATTTTGTTTCAGATCGTGATGTATTTCAGTTTATCGTTAAAATCAGAAGTCAGTTCTGAAGATTTCCGCGTAGATAAGATATATTATTATTAGGTAACACATAAATTATTCATGTTCTGAAGAACCTGAAAGATGTATAGAAAATCTTGAGCGTGTTCGATCACTTACTCAATTCATAATCCCTTATGGCAGCTTGTAAAGTCAAAATTAAAGTTAGAAGTAGTATATTTAAAAATTTGATTAGCTTAGGTGCGCGCTATTAAAGCACCTGCGCTTACCTTGCACGATTGTGGAGGGTTGACGAGGACCCTGGATGGTATGTGCATGACATCTCGGCTTCAATATTCCATGATACAGTACAAAATACAGACTGGCAACGATGGCTGCTGCTACCGCCATACAACGAAACACGAATCTCAATGATTGTACGATGTCCTCATCGCCAAGATTGATATAAGCACCGATGACAGATCCGAGACATCGACCTATGAATTAATTAGACAGAATTAATATTAATAAGTTCAGTTCTATTTGTCCGTTCTCTTATTGTCGCAGTTACAAATTGGAAATGTACCGATGCAAAAGTGAGCTATCACAGGCCACGCTTGGGCAGTCACGGTCAAATGACGCGGTACCAAGTGTCTCAGATAGAGAATGGCAGTAACCCACATTATTCCTAAGGTGAATACTTCTAAAGCTTCCGAGATGAGAGACCACCAAGGATCAGATACGAGACTCAGTCCGGTGAATCTGACCAAATTCATCAATATAGTATATATCAATAGAATTTTATACATAGAATAATACTCTTTGAAAACGAATGACAAATAATAAAACATAGCGAAGATCTTGTTTCAGTTTAAACTGATCGCACGATAATCAGACTGGAAAAAACTTACCTACCTGATTATGTACACCGTAAAGGCAGTGATGAGAAGATTACTGTGTCCACAGTAATCAACAAGATGTTCAGACTTCCAGAGGAACAAGAACGCAGGTATCGCTCCGACGGTCATAGCGACTCCAATGGAAAGCTCATCACCTCCTAATCTTTGTAGATGCCTGTGTCAAAGAAAAGAAATTCTTAATATTTCAAACGAATGCATTATATCGCAATTAAATTATTCCTTTAATGATCTGAGGCTATCTTAACGAACACTTACAAAGGTAAGTAGCTATCCATCGCGCTCCAAAAGGTTCCCATGACTAGCAGAACAAAGATTAGGGCGACGGTCTCGCTGCCGTATCTTTTGACAGCGCTCATTGGCAACGCCAGCATGCCGCTTCTCGTGTGCCACCACCATTCCGGTGGACTGAGAGGCATGCCGTCCGCCGACAAAGCAACGATGGCCGCGAGGATCATCAATACGGCGTGTAGGACGAGAGGTAGCCAATAAGCCGGTCCAATGTTGCTCGTCAGAGTGCTTAGATAGCCGGTCAGTGGTCCTAGCAGAGCGAAACCAAGGGAGCCGAAAGCCAATTGACGTCCTACGTCGCCGCGACCACACGACGTCTCCCTTGTCGCAATCACCACCGCTGCGTCGATCAGAGCGACAGCGGTCGTCGGGAAGATATCCGCGACTGATCGCACAAACAGGTACATCCAAAACGCTGCTTCCGTCCACACTCCGGTATGTTGGCATCGGCTTTCCACCAGTACGCTACCTGAAACATCGACATTATCATCATAATATATCGTTTATGTATATTATTATCATCGGTATAAAGGAATTGGATATTCTTCTGTTTCTCCGCTGTCAGGATAGATATAAAATCGAATAAAGTGTGAATGAAGGTGAATGTATTTTATCTCGGTAACTCTACCATGATGGAATCAGAAAGGAATCCTTATGCCACCTTCTAACTACTGCAGCAAAAATTATTATACCTATGTTGCAGTCACGTAAAAGTGTTGGAACGTGATTATTGCAGTAGAAATTTGATCTTGAGAAAAAAATACACACACACACACACACACACACACACACACACACACACACACACACACACACACATATATATATTAAAAGTTATGCGTTTCGCGGGTTTCCTCCAACATTTCGTGAATCTTGCAGTCCACTTCATCAGGGCGAAAAGCAGCCTGATACAGTATCAGTTCACGAAACGTTGGCATTTCAAGAATGGATCTGGACACGGAGGAAACCCGCAAAACGCATAACTTTTATATAGAAA